AGGGAGGGAGGGGAAGAAGAGGCTATCTGAGGCCTTTAACACCTGCACTCAACAGGAAGCCTGTAAGGTGGAGCCAGTCCACCTTGTGAGACATGGAGAAAGGAAAGAGAAAGGGGGAGGGAGGGGGACCAGGAAGAGGAAGAGGAGAAGGAAGAAGAGGAGGAGGAAGGAAGAAGGAAGGAGGAGGAGGAGCAGGAGGAGGAGGAGGAGGGGAGAGGGGGAAGAGGAAGGAGGAAGAGGAGGAGGAGGAAGAAAGAAGGGAGGAGGAGGAAGAAAGAAGGAAGGAGGAGGAGGAGCAGCAGGAAGAGCACTTCAGTGGACCTGTCAACCACTAGCTGTTTGCTGTGCCTTGCTGGTTAAGCATCCCTGATTCAAGGGAGGGAGGCTTTCCTCTACACAGTTATGCCATGTTTGGGGAACTGAGAAGGAGGAAATCTACGATTCTCCAGTTCCTGAAACAATGCTCCTCAGTGACTGCTAGTTGTGCAATAAATACTGAAATTCAGTCAAAATATACTCTAACTTAGAATGTATTTTAAAAACATTAACCATAATAATTTTTCCCATTTTATTCCTACAAGTTCTTAGCCCATAATTCATATTTACAGGGATGCTGATGTTTTAAAACTGCTTATCAGGTAAGGCCTAGGCCTGAACAAAACTCAGGTACCTAAAGAGACACATGGTGAAAATGTCCCTCCCATCCTGGTCCCCAGCCACCAGGCTGCAGTGGAGGACGGCAATGCTTCTTCAGAGCGGCTTTACACTCACATGCACAGTCTCCAGCACAGACAGACAGACAGACAGACAAAGTCGCTTTCAAGCAGAAGTGATGGAGTTCAGGGATCACTCTTCCATGTTAAGTCTTGTCAGTTTAGTGACCTGCTACGGAAACAGCTTCCCCCTGGCACTTACAGGGAGCCTGCTTCACCCTTCACCACCCCACAGATGCCTCAACTTAAGGAACCTCCCCTCGGACAGTCCTTTCGATTGTTCCCGAACTTCTGCCATCGCAGACAGTGCCAAGGCGGGTTTCCTCGCAGACATACGTTTGCAAAAGTCTCTAAGTTTATACACACCATCAGCTATGACACCTGGAGTTTTCTCAACTAAAGGGTAAGCGATTCTTGTGGCTCGGTGAAATTTATGACAAGGTTAAATCTAGGGCCAGCAAGATGGCTCAGTGGATGGAGGGATTTGCCATCAAGTCTGATGACCTGAACTCAATCCCCAAGACTCACATGGTGGAGAGGCCTGAGTCCAGCAAGCTAGCTAGTGACCTCACACTTGTGCCACAGCACACACCTACACAATAAATAATGTGTGTGCTGGACAGCTTTAGTTGTCAACCTGACACACCTGGGTAGAGGGAGCCTCAACTGGGGAATTGCCTCCATTGGACTGGCCTGTGGCATGTCTGTGGGGCATCTTCTTGATGGTTGAGTGATGGGGGAGGGTCCAGCCCACTGTGGGGGGTGACACCCCTGGGCAGGTGGACCTGTGTTGGATAAGAGAGCAGGCTGAGCAGGGGAGCAGGCCAGTAAGCAGCATTCCTCCATGGCCTGTGCTCCAGCTCCTGCCTCCAGGTTCCTGCCCTGAGTTCTTCCCTTGGGCTCCCTAAGTGACAAACTGTGACCTGGGAGATGTAAGCCGAATAAACCCTTTCCTCCCCAAGTTGATATTGATCCGGAGTATCTGATCACAGCAATGGAGAAACAAACTAGAACAATGTAATTTTGAGGGAGAAAAGATTAGGTCTATCTGAAGAATACCTTTGTTTAGCTCATACCACAGCTTAGGAACATGGACTAGATACACAGAGAATGTGGTCGTGGTACAGGGCTGTAGCTCACGTGTTCCTTAGAAGACGGCAGCCTATCTGCTTGCCCTCAAACCTTAGCCTACGTTAGAGAAGAGGAGCCTCCGCCTGCCCGTGTGAAGGACAGGCCTTTCTAACTCTGTGCCTCTAACAGCTCCTTCCTCTCACCTCTTAAACCCAACTTCCAGTTCCTCTCTGACCAACAGCTGCTGGGGTGTCGCTGGTCCTCTGCTGCCCTTATTTTTTCCTGCAGCACTTACTGCCCCATTGGTCTTCAGTCATCCCTTCCAATCCCTCTGCCCCTCAGCTACTATCCGCACTACCCAGGAACGCATCCAATACTTCATATCAGCCACTAACTGTTCTTAGGAGTAGTAGGAATGAGAAGCAATATGGACAGAATCTAAACTAACAACTCCAGACAAACTCACTGAACCACATGCTCTTCTGGGCTGGGCACCTGACCTTGATCCTGGGACCCCGCTTTGCCCTAGATAGTGAATGAATGTGGGAGTGATGGAATTAGCAAACCAGAGTGCTGAACACAACATTCTCATATTTGTGTTTTCATGAAAACAACTGAGACGAATCTTGACTGTGTGTGAGAGCTATTCTAGGCTTAGGGATCAAAGGGCACGGTTCTCCATCAGGGTGGATCCAAGCGTGGAGCTGCCCCGTGGATGCAAGAGAAACAGCTTCAGTAAAAGTGTGAGTTAGGCCTGGCTCGGGAGCACAGTCTCATGAGACATCAGAAGCAAAGGCCAGTTCAGGTCCACTCTTAAAACTAACGCTAAGAGTCAAGCTGGTTATTTATTTAGGTACAACCAAAATGTGGCTTTGTAAGGCTGAGACAAGGTCTCATATGTACAGTGTAGCCTGAGCTGGTCTAGAATTTGCTGTGCAGACATGGCTGACCTGGAACTCACAGAGATCTGCCTGCCTCTGTCTCCGGAGTGCTGGAATTAAAGGTGTGTACCACCACAACCCAGCTCAATTGTTAATTATTCAGTATGTATGCGTCTTACAGTACACTGACTGATATTTTAAAATCTTGTTGGATTCTTGAATTAAAGATAAAAGTGAATCAGTTATCTAAGCAAATAATTTTAAAGCTCTTGTCTAAATTATTTCACTTTGCTTTAGAACAAACACAATATATTGAAATTAATGAATACACAGGGCTATAAAATAAGTTTGTAACTTTATTCTAAGTGTAAAACTTGTTGCTTTTGAAAAAATCGCAGCATCTGCTGTGAATGGTAGCTGTTTTTTTCATTCAGCATGCAAAGTCTCCAAGTCCTCACAATTAACAACGGACTTGAAGGCTGATCTTAACTATAATCTCCTTTCTATAAAAATAACTAAAACAGCTGCACTGATATTTTCCAATAGACATAAAATAATATTGAAAAAAACATCTGAACTGAAAAACCTATTAAGAACGTTGTATAAAGCGATTTTTGCCTTTTGACAAACAATCAGAATTCTTGTTAGTTTTAAGACCCTATCTCATGTTGCCCAGGCTGGCCTCAAACTTGTTATGTAGCTGAGGCTGGCCTTGAACTCCTGATCCCTTTCCTCCATCTCCCAAGTGCCTGGATGACAAGTGTGTACCACCACACCCAGCTTAACATGCATTTTTCTAATTAACAGTCTCGATAACATCACATTTTAATGCAAAATAAATTAAACCTAATCAGCTGTGCATGGTGGGGAGGCTTTCCAGAGCTTCCGTTTGGGGAAAGTGTGGTCCCAGTGCCAATCTAGAGATGTCATGACTTAAGACAATGGGAAACAACGGAAAAGGGGTTTGGGTAACTTTAAGGGTTTCTTATTAGCTCACACACCTCCCTGTGTCCTTTGACATAAACAGTATTT